GAAATAGGTCTATATTATATGTAAATGTCATTTAATGATTACTTGTATTGAATTTCATACCAACAAAAATGGAAAACTTATTAGAGAAAGTAAAAGAGACTACTATATAAATAACAGTTTTTATAAAAATCAAAGTGGTTCTACTATATTGGACTTCTTTATATATTTAGCAAGCAAACTAAAAGCATACATATACAAAATAACTGGCAGGAGGTGCCCTTGTATAACAAATTTTAGTAGAAGTCTCAGCTTTTGTTAATAAAGTTAAAATGTAGGTCTTATAAGAGAACAATAAGCAAGTTTTTAATATATTAATTAGAAATTCAAGAATACCTACTAACCAAACACCACTACTATATTCTTTACTTAGTTTTTGATAAATATTTTTATAAGAAGTGGGAATTTAGCATACCTCATATAAAAGATTTACAGAAATCATTCATTTTAGAAATAAGAGAATTATCCTTTTTCTGAAAATAGGAATAACTCTAATCAAAATAAAAGAGTCAGCTGTAGAACTGATAGAGAAGAAATTAAACACTAACATCTTTATCATTAAATGACATTTACATATAATATAGACCTATTTCTAGAATAGAAACTAGAAGTAGCAATACTATATAATTTTTACAATTTGCTCTGACTGGGGTTTAGCCCTTTTTTTGTTTTTTCTTTTTTTTTATTATTATGTGTTTGTTTTACTGTTTTGTTTTGATTTGAGTTTTGTTTGTTTACTTTTGAATTTTTTTAGTCATGTTCTTATTTGTATTCAATTTTATAATACCCCTCTTTATCAGCCCTTTATGAAAAAGAAAGAATTTAAAAAAAGGATTGAAGACAGTTAATGCTTGTTCTGGAAGAGAGAAATCCTTTCTAGTATGGTTTTAAGTAGCCAGATAAGCAGTTTATCTCTAATTGGAATAGTGCAACAGATCACACTTAGGTACCAATAAGGTGACCAGATGATGCTGGACTTAGTTATTAAGAAAATTCTATGTAGTTATTGTATATAGTTGCAAGAATCTTAATAAAGTACTAGCGTGGCTGCTTAAGAGCAAAAAAAAAAAAAAAAAAAAAATAATTAGTGTTTACAAATTGGCAAAATTTTTTCAATTGATTAGTTGGTTATTATTTTTTAAAGTTGCAACTGGTCAATTAATCAATTAATCGATTAGTTGCAACTAATTTATTATGCAAATAAATAATTTTCAATTAATTCTTTGCAACTAATCAATTAGTTCTTTAGTTAATTAGTTGCAACTAAAGATGGAACACTGTGCAGAAGAAATGTTTAGAAAGCTTAGAATTATTTAAAAGATATAAGAATTTAACAATTCTGGCTTGTATTAGATATAACATAAGCCTGTGCAGTTGTGCAGCCTGCACAGTAGATTCAAAAAATCCATGATTTTCTTATCTCTAGTTGCAACTAATCAATTAGTCAATCAATAATCAATTTTGATTTGTATTATTAGTAATGTTATTCTCATGTTATATATAACCTTGAAATTCAATTGGTTTTCAGAAAAATTATTATAAAAAATGATAAAATTACTGAACTAATGCTTGTTTAAAATGTTTAATAACCTTCAACATAATTATAAAAACCTATTTTCATGACTTCTTGTAAATTACCACTAGTGTAGAATTATTATTCTAATATTTTAGTATGAACCAATAGAACAGTAATCCTTTAAACAATGTTATTATTACTTAATATTTTATGTAGGCAAATTTGTCTGCAAAATTTAATTTTAATAAATTGCTAAAAAATGAAATAAGAGAGGTCCCCTTAAAAGATATTTTATCTTGTTTGGTTAGACTTTATTAACATTATAGTTAAATATTAATTGTATAAATTACATTACTGATGATTAACACTAATTCAAAATTATATATATTATGCATTACTGCACTACATATTACATTAATTGAACCTGAAAAATAATTATAAATTATTCATATTAAGTTTAGTGACCTTTTTTTAAAATATTATTATTCTTACACTATTGTTTTACAAAAAGGTTTGTTTTAAATTTTTTAAAAGTAATTTTTAAATCAGATCCACTTTGAATGAATATTTATTCTTTAGTTTGTTACAATGCAAAACAACAAAGAATTATCTGCAGATTTGTTAGGTCCTTATGAAGTTTTATTTTTTTCACAAACATCAGATAAGTTTTTTGAAGATAATGACTTTGATAGTGATGCTAATATTGTAGAATTAACTAATAAAACCAATTCAATTACTCTAGACAATAAAAACCAAATTAATAAAGAAAAGACTAGAAAAAGATGAAAAGGAAGTAAAAATAAAAAAGGAAAAAATATAGCTTCAGAAAAAAAAGCCAAAATATTTGTACAGTTATTTGTACCAACTGATTTTAGTTACTTAAAGCATAATGTATCATTTTATTAAGGTTTTATTCGATTAACACTAGCATTTCCTGATAACAATATTAGTTTATATGAATTAATTAGATTATTTTTTTTATAACCAATTTTAAATACAATTTAAACAAATACTAATGAGTATGCACAATTAAAATATGTTAGTTTGGTCAGATGTTTTTGGTTACTTTTAACATTAGATGAGCTAAAAATTTGAAAGATATTGTTATATATATAGGTGCTATTAAATTACTAAGAACAACAGATTATTGGTCAATTAATCCTATATATCCTAAATATGATATTACTCAAATAATGTCAATGGTATGTTTTCAATAAATTAAAAGATATTTACATATTTCAGATATTAATTCTGAAAAACTTAATTGATTTGACAAAGTTAAACCATTTGCTTTGCATATTCAAAATATTTGTAAACAAATTTATATACTTGATTCACATGTTGCAATTGATGAAATGATGATTAAATTTTTTGGATGTAGTAAACATATATTTAGAATGAAAAATAAACCTATTTTAGAAAGTTATAAGGTTATCTCATTTTGTGAAAAAGGTTATACTTATACTTTTATATTTGAATCACATGTTGAATTAAATAGAGAAGTTTTAAATATTTCAGGTCTTAGTAAAACTTAATCACTTGTATTATATCTTGTTACATAATTATCTAATAGTTAGACATATAATATATATATAGACAACTATTTTGCAAGTATACCTCTCTTTAATTATTTGTAAACAAAAGGATATGGTGCTTGTAGTACAGTACAAATAAACTCAAAAATGTTTTCTAAAGAATTAAAGATTAAAAAATCTATTCATCTAAATTGGAATACTTTGGCTAGAGTTGTTATAAATAATGTTTTAGTAATTTTTTGGATAAATAATGGCTCTGTTTATATGCTTTCAACTATTCATAGCATTAATAATAATAAGTAGTAAGTTTTAAGCTTACAACAGTGATCTTAAAAAGCAAGTTCAAATGCAACTAATATATAAAAAGTATTTGGTAATAAAATATATAAAGAAATTCTAATTCCAAAAGTTATTAATGATTATAATCATTTTATAAATAAAGTAGATATTGTTAATTAATATTGATCTTATTATAATTGTTAGCTTGCTGCTTCATATATTTGGATGCCATTATTATTTTGGTTAATAGATACTATAATAATAAATTTATTTATTATTTATCAAAAAAATAATAAGTAAATTTAATTTAATTATAAATTATTTATAACTATAATACTTATTAATAAATAAGTTTTTTGTTTTAAAATTAACTTTAGAGAACATAGTAATTACTATATTCAATAAAGTTATTTTTAAGACAAAAACTTTAAATTTTATTTTAATAGATGGAACTCTTGCTTATTAATAGTTTAGATTGCAACTAGCATGAGATTTTATTAATGACAATTAAATAATAGACAAAAAGTAGTTAATAAGCAACATTTAAATAAAAATTCAGCATTTATTGTAAATAAATATTATAAACTTCCAACAATTTATCTATCTGGTACAAATTACTATTCTAAATGAAGAAAAAGTTAGATAGCATGTGTTTGGTGTCAATGGAATGCAAAACAAAATAATAAAGATATAAATAAAAAAATCTACTACAAAGTTAAATTTGGTGCAACAAATATAATATTACACTTTGTTGCAATATATCTTGTCTTTCATGTTTTAAAAAATACTACACATATATTAAAAAACAATAACAATATATATTAGTAATACAAATATATTTTAGTTGTATATACATATTGCATATATATATGTGTATATATATTTTTTTTTGGTATTAAGGTGAGGCCTTGCTCATATCTTTATTAGTAATTTTAGTTGTACATATTAATA